GTTGAAATAACATACTACTCCTCATTGTTGAAATAAAAGAAGCCATTGATAGATTTTCTAAAGATGGCACATCTGAGTATTAAAAACTGCTGACGGTGCAGTTGTTTGGAGATTGGACAACTATAGAAATCTTAGCTGCATGAGTCGAGGCTTTTTCCAACTACACTGTGTCAGTCATCTAGAAAAAAGACATGCTCTATCCATGCTGCATCAGCAAAATAAGTAGCGGACAGACTTTTTTGACTGGAGTGGATAAACTGAGCCCCAACTTTCATAGCAGTGGTACAAAGTATGTGTGCATGGAAATTTATTCAAGCAGGTCACACACGATAACAAGACAATCATGATAAATCCCCGAGAGCAGCAGAGTATCAACTGTTCCCGTTGTCATGTAGAATGAAGCAGTAGCCAATCAGAAGGCAAGCTGACTAAAGAAGGAAGCACATCAAATGGGGCTATGACAGCAATAGTGAATACAAGTGTGGACTTAGATGGACATTAATGATGCACTTACTTCACCCATGTTAATGTTAAAGTTAATTCCCTCCCTTTAGTCACACTGATTACTGGAAATCTGAAAATAAACGTCAGTTTCAAGCAAAGTCAGTGAATAAAAAGCTTAATTTAAAACAAAAAGTCAGTACATGTCTGCATGTGAAGACATAGAACAATGCACCTTTGTGACAAGCGTTGTGATAAAGGCTGGATGAAGCCAAATATGCTGTATGCAAGAGGGAAAGAGAGAAGAAAAAAAAATGAATACACAACACAAGAGGCCATGATTTATTCATTGATGAAAGGAACCCTAGTGCTTTATTCATGATGTCTTTAAATATAGCTCATGTGAATTAAATAAATGATTGAAAATGGATGTTCCAACCTACATTCTTGTTTATCCAGCACACTTAAGTACACACACGCATAGGGGAGTGCATACACATACACAAACACACAACATAGCATAATGCATAAATTTATACATTGCAAATCGGATAAGTTATGATTACTTGTTTTACTGCAACAATAAATTCACACAGATTTCAACACGATCCAGCATGATTAAGAAAGTAATCATGTAAGTAAGGGTAAATCTTCGAATATTTGGTCTTGATTCTTCAAATGAGTGTAAATGATAGGCCAAACAATGTCTGTATCTCACAGGGAGAACTGACTCTTATAGCTCAATGTTTACCTCATGTCATCAATGTTGAATACCTGACCTGACTCAGCAAAACCAAGTGTTTGCACCATAGTCAGTGGAGTCAAAAAAAAAAAAAAAAAGGAAACATGTGCAGGACTTTTGTTTGTCAAACATTTTTTAGGATTTGCAGATACACATGGGTTAACAATAATACCAGAAATAGAAAGACAAGAAATTGCATTATTCCATTAAAACTGTATTATTCTTAAATCACATGAAGTTCATTCAAAAATAAGACGTAAACAGAACAAGTTGTGATCTTACTACTTGGTTTGACTTTTTCTATCCTGTGTGCTAACCTCAAGTCATCACCAAAAACAAAATGATCCGAAGCTAGCACAGGCTAAAATTTCAGGCGACCTGTGATGACAATAGCTCCAACATGCCCAACGACAGCTGACTTCTGCGGATATAAATGATTTCTGCCGACTTTGCAAAGTCAACTGCAGAATTAACGGCGTTCTGAATGAACGGCGCTTTGAAAAGTCCCGCAGCATGTGTTAGATGTCACCACTACACATGGAACAATCAGGGGCTGCCTTTCCCTGTTGTCCGGATAACAGTGGAAACACGGTCTCTGATTGGCCTGGTTATTTTCTGATCGGGAATACACGCTCTCTATGGGCAGAAGTCCAGACTGTTGTGGGAAGGAACATCAAGTGATTCACGCAACTGGATGGCCCAGCCAGGCTACTGAGACGCACCTCTTGTGAAAATTTCAGGTCAATCCGTCTGTTACTTTCTCTGTAAAGTTGCTAACAGACAAACTTTGATCTGTCTGACCCTCGCTGAATGTTAGCCACAATTCACTCTCTCCAGACTGGTCTATGCTCACATCACTGTGCAATAGTTTCAAAATGGGCGGCTCAGTTCACCGTCCACAAGAACATGAACATGTTCAGTGAACACATAGTGGGAGTATTTGTTATAGACATCTCTTCCCCTGATGTTCCACTATTGCGTTACCCTGTTACAGAATCTTACAGGGACTGCACTTTTCAACAGAGCTCTCAATCATCACTCAAAACCCTCTTTATAGTTTTACCTATGTGCCACGTCTGCTGTCATTGGAGAAGCTGACTGTATAGACTCTTCTGCTGTCATTCACTGGAGGGCATCTGAGTATTTTGGCTTAACTTTTAGAGAGGTAACATGCCATCCATCTTTTTATGTACTTGTCACATTTAGGTGCTGAGCAGGGAGAGTTCGAGAGCCTTTTCACTAAAAATAGCTTGATGCTACCAAGAGAGCAAAAAGAGTGACCAAAAATGGTTAAGCTGAGCTTAAAGTCACTGAAAACCTTGTTTCTTTGAATATTTAGAGACAGACAATTTAACATGCTGACAGGTCTACTGTCAGCGTTGCAATGCTCTCCTCAACAAGAATTAAAATAAACAACCCCCCTTTCTCAATTCTGAGAAAAGTCTCTTTAGCCTGCCAGATCACTCGATGGAAACTTCAGTGCTTAGCTGCAGAAATGAATGCCTTTCTCCTTAGTTGGCATACTGATTGTCAATAATCGGTATCGTTCTTTGACCTTTCATTAGGTCCTTGACAAAGTCCCAGTGGCCCGCTAATGTTTATTCCTTACCACCAAGCCAATAAAGGTCATTTCAGGAAGAGTGTATGAAAGAGGATCCTTATGGGATACAGGAAAAGGAAGTACTTCTACTATAAAATGATCAATATTGCCATTTTCAGTGACAGAAAATCCACTTGCAGTGACCTGACCTATCTTTCATTTTGGCTGAGCATTAAAAAGCCTCAGAGAGAATGTATCTTAAATAAGTTATGGCTCCACTGTGCAGATTGTGCTAAACCAGTGTTGTCATTCATGCAGAAAGGCACACAGTGATAAAATCTTTATTTAATAACACTGCACATTGAAGTCCCAGTTTTCTTTTCCAGAAATTTACTGTTTTATTCTTTTATCTTAACATGTTCAAGTGTTTTTAGTGTGGACGGGTCCACCACACAGCATACAGTACCACAATATATCATATGCAGCTTGGGGTTCAAATCCAGCATTGCTATTGAAATCATTTTTCTGTCCTTCCACCAAGTAAAATAAGTTAAAACACTAATGTTAACACAGCTTAAAGATAACGCCCAGCTTAGGGATTTTAGGGTGGTCCTGTTTGGTCAGTGATAGTATTACTATTGCTTCAACGCAGCTCAGTAAAACTAGCATTAAAATGTGGACGTAAGCCTCATACTCATGATTTTGTTGTGGAGGCAAGTTGGAAAATGGAAAACATTGCATCTGTGAATTCACTGTCCCTCTTCAATGTGGCCTGGACTGACCAACAGCAACCCAAGCTATTAACAGATTGTTTAATTTTCCACAGAAACAATACATCACTACACTATTGTGTATGCCTAAGAAGGCCCATTGCTCCACCACATATTGTACCACTACCAACCCATCATCTGCACAAAGTGCTCTGTGCCAAAGTAGCTTGTCAGAAAATGAAGGCATGAATGCCAGATTCTAAATTAACTGACCTGAAGCAGACCTGGGATATCTGCTGCTCCCAAACACAAGAAGCTTTAAGAAAATCTGGATTTAGGAGGCTGCCAGAGAAACCATCTGTGTTTGGACTGCATAAGCTTTGCTGTCACCCTCAGCTCTGCACATCCATCTTGGCTTCAGTTTTTAAAAACCAACTGAATGCAAAAGCAAACCCTTTATACCACCCCATGAATATCATACATACTGAATGACTTGAAAAATGGAAGACTGGAAAATTATTTACATTTTTAATATATGCTTTCAGTATTTAAATTTTGATGGAAAATGGAGACATCACATTATACAACTTATGAGAAAATACTGCTGTAGATATCTGTGTTGTTTTATGCATTTTCCATTGACGACAATAAATCAAATCTAGAAACCTGATGATGATACCTACCGCTGACGACACAAAATGATGTACTGCAGCACAGGTCACTGTCCTGTTGTCTGTTTTTTTTACATCATAATTACTTGTAGGTAACACTACTAAACTAATCATATTTTGTCGGCTGACAACAGTCCTGCAGGGTTTTTTTTTCTTTTTCAATTTTATCAATATTTCTCCAGTAGAGGCTGTCGTCATTGACTATTAGATTAGATAGAAACTATTGTATTTTAAAATTCGTGTTTGTCTCTGTTCATCTCTCTCTCTTACCTCTTTTAAATCAACTTGATGAGAGATAATTCAAAACAGCATTGCTACAATTTGTTTTTTTATCCAGTATTATCCACCCGCCCAGTGAACAAACCGGTTTGATAAGGACTGTGTGGGACCAAGTCGTGCACCGCTCATCAAAAGTGTCTAAAGAAATAAAGACAGATTGGTCATTTAAACCAGACGTGTGATTTAAACATCGATGGTACACAGTCTATGGGTTTAAACGGTGAGCGACTTTTGCAGCGCGGGGAATTGTGGGTAATGTGAACTCAGGTGCCTTAAACATTGTACGTTAATGCCACCTCTCTGCGACTCTCAAATAGGCTACCACTCAGAAATCCTGTTCCAAATAAGTTATCTGGAAAACGATGCCTTTCAAGGGTGAAGTCTATCTCAGTTTGCCGAATGACTCAAGTGACTTTTCAAAGGGAGAAACTTTGGACCATCTCCTTCACGTAACAGCTCTGATATGTTTCAGTCATGTAGGGTAATCCTCCCACCTACTGGTGAAACAACGCGACAATTGCGGATTCAATCGTTATCGTGTTACAAGAACTTCTGGAAAGAGCGACCAAGCACCGACCCGCACCGTACTCTTTGATTTGATTAAGTGGACAGACGCTATGAGTGGTGCCATGAATTTCCAAAACTGCGGTTCTGTGTTGGTGACAGGGGCTAGTCGTGGGCTCGGGCTGCAGATGGTCGACAGCCTGGCGAGTGGAGGTTTTTCACCCGGCAAGATTATAGCCACAACCAAACCCACCGAGAGTGTGCAGGTAAACAGCTATGTCAGAGCTTCACGGCTGTTACTACTTTAATTGCATGATTATAGAGGAATAGCTGAGACATGCGCGACGCTGCGCCGACCTTAACCGTAGATAGATATAAGAAAGGCTAGATGACTCGAGGCGGAGTCACCGGCGGCCATCTTACTCCAGTATACCGTTCTGGTACGCGCTATGCCAGCTGACGGGAGGTGAGTAATCTGCTTGATCAAAAATACTCTAAACTCGCTGAAATCTCAGATTTACAGTTTTGTTTATTATAGACCTAAATAACGTGTCTATGAGTCGGGGTGCTTGGACATATTGAAACGACAGCTTTTCTTTAAGAAAAAAAAGACTCAATCATGCAGCACAGTTGTTTCACAGCTATTTGTGCACAAGGGCTAATTTTGAGTCGCTTTGCGCGAGTTGTTAAGGCTCAAATTTTCAGCAATTTTACATCAGTTGGAGAGGCAGAAATGCTCTTTCGAGTCAACATAACTTAAGCTGCACATGATTTCCAAGCTATTTGGTTTGTTTAAAACATCTAAAATGGCAACATGAGGCAGAAATGAATATTGAAAATAAATACGATATGTTATGTTGTATATGTATGTAATATATATGTTACATGTTGTAATATATGTTCTTGTTATATGTTATCATATTTATCCTTATAATAGAAATATTACTAATATATATGGAATGATTAAATGTTTTGTATGTAAATAATTTATTATAATTGCCTTGTGTGTGTAGGCCTATAGCTATTGCTCCACCTATCTGCATAACCTTTATTTATGAAAATCTATGGTTAAAATTATTCTTAAGTATACAGGAACGTAGCTAAAACTCTGATGTTTGTAACAAACCAAACCGTTCGTAGATTAGTTTAAAATTAAGCAATCTATGGTTATTTAAATGCTACATGCACGGTAGACTGTAATGATATGAGCGGGCGAGTGTCCCGTAGCAAAATGGCCGCCATGCGCCGGTCTCCATTTGCGAACAACGGGCGTAAGCCATCTAGCGTGTATATATCTATGGGTGCAATAGCAGTGCAAGAAGCTGTATGGTAACATGGGACAGAGGGCGCCATTGTTCACCATAGACCTTTTTCACAGTACGCGGAAGTGAGCAGAATGCTCACTTCCGGTGTTAGCGTGTGGTGGAGCCACTTAGCATCGCCCATAGACGGCCATTCATTTTTCACGATATTAGCAAGCTCACGACTCGTTTTTTTGAAAGGTAAAGTAAAACTTTATGCTTTGTGCTGTTTTACTAACTCCTGTTCTTCATAATACTGTCCGGATTTTGTACTTTACTTTTCGGGAATTATGTTTAATAGGTCTGGAAATTTTCTGTTGATGGTAACCATTGCTCTTCAGTAATGACATATTAAACATAATTCCCGTAAAGTAAAGTAAAGTACAAAATCCGGACAGTATTATGAAGAACAGGAGTTAGTAAAACAGCACAAAGCACAAAGTTTTACTTTACCTTTCAAAAAAACGAGTCGTGAGCTAGTTAATATCGTGAAAAATGAATGGCCGTCTATGGGCGATGCTAAGTGGCTCCACCACACGCTAAAAGGTCTGTCGCGACGTGTATGACATTTAACACCAATAAATATGTTTTAACTTACAGAAACTGCAAGAACTGGCAGCCAAACACACAAACATCCATATTTTTGCATTGGGTAAGACTGACTGGAGCATTACTGTGTGTGTTTCAAAAATAATGTTCAGAATTTTGCAGAACATTTTGCAAATATATTTTGATTGTGTTGTGGACAGCCAAAACTCAATACCGCTGCACATTTTAGATTTTGATGAAGAGAAATCTCACAAACAATGTCTTGACAACAACAAAAAAATCCTCCATTTGAATTAATAGGACAAAACTTCTGCACACGAATCAACATACAGCGCAAACACCTTAATTCTCATGCATGTTCAAACACATTCCGGCTGCATTAATAACTTACTTCAAACATGTTTATTTGACTTGATAGGACTCAGTTTGCGTAACCTTTCACTCTGAGGTTTCAGAGTGTTGATGTGTCTCTCTCTTAGATGTAGTAAACCAGGAGAGTATAGAAAAGTCTGTTGAAGAGGTTGGCCAGCTTGTACAAGAGGAGGGCCTGAACTGCCTGATCAACAATGCAGGGATCAATGTGGTGGCCGACTTTCACACAGTTACAGCAGAGAAGATGATAGAAAACTTCCACACTAATGCTGTGGCTCCCCTGATGATCACCAAGGTAATATCCATGTTCAAATTTCAAGTTTCATGTCGTGTAGGAACTTGCAACAAAAGATGTCTGTCTTCAACAGAGGCTGAAAAAGACGAGAAAATATGTGTTAATGACAGTCAACAGACACAAAACGTATGGGAGGTTACTAAAAGCTGAAACTAAAAACTTTTGTAAAGTGTTGACCTTGATAGACTGAATTTAAAAGCCCCCCTAGCAGAGAGCAGAATGTATTTCATGAATATTAATTAAGTCTGGCTTCAGATGGCCTCAAAGTACAAAACAAGCTACAAAGCAGCACAATGTTCTTGGAAATACTCAGGCACTGATCAGGAACATGTCAGCAGGACAGATGCATGCTGACACACAGTTTAATTCAATGGAAGGACAGTCTCTGTACCTACAAGGCCAAACTGCAGCCCTGACAGTGTTCATGGGGTGGGTAGTCGGCTATAAATCACAGACACCAGAATATTAATACCCTACTCCTTGCAGGGTGAGTGCCAAAAGTGTAGTTTTCATTCATTTGGATTGGTGATACTGCAATTACTGCAGCATGTAATTTGTTTGTCTGTTCTATGTAACAGTGAATTCAAATGTAAATATTAGAGTCATGTGATTTTTGCAGAATACTGAGTCATTTCATAAAATCCCAAAAGAACAATGCAGAGTGCTAGAATATAAAGAATTCTTGAAATCGCAAGATTCCATCGGCTGGATTATCTCTGTATTAGAGCTGGTCAAGGAAAGGTGAGATGTTGTGTGTACTAATAAAAAGATCAGCCAGCTCAAACAGTTTTTGTACACTTTGTTTCTAGGTAATTAGATACACTTTGTTTGAAAGAGGAAGTGAATGTAACAGGCCTCAAAGTTACACTTATACATGTGGAGAGCAGTCCAGTCCAATGCAGTGGTATAAAGTAGTCACTGTAAGTTGCACATACAACCACTAGAGGTCAGTATTTTATTCCACTTGAGTAACTGTATCGGGTTTTGGAGAAAAGCATAGTTAAATATAAACCAATATTTCTGTCTTGAGAGTAAGTGTTTGTTCTCGACTTTTAAAAAAAATTTTTTTATGATGATCATCATCAGTGAGTGAATTTTTGGAAGCTGATGATTTTCTGATGCAGTATTAAGCCTCAGCAGTAATAAACCTTTTTTTTTTTTACCCTGTCAGGCCTTCCTGCCTCTTTTGAAAAAAGCTGCATCAAGAAGAGGTGCAGGCGGTGCAGGGCGCATGAGCATCCAGAGGGCAGCAGTCATCAACTGTGCTGGGCTCTGTTGAACTTAACTGGGGAGAAGCAGCCAACAGCTTCAAATGGTACCCCTATAGGACTTCCAAGGTACTGTTTCTATTCATAGACTCAATAGTTTTGAAAGTACAAGACTGTCCAGGACTTTTTAGAGCTGTTTAAAGGGTGTGAAATTGTATATTTGACTCAGTGAATGGAGAAAAGTCATAAATATTTTCTTGTAGCAAAACCTGCAGCTTTGGATTGAAAATGAGAAACAACAGTTACACCTTTTTACATTCCCTTAAAGTCTCAACTCCTGTGATGATGGATTTAACCATAACACTTTTCTGTATACTCAGTGTGTTGCATAGAAATGTGTACTTCTCTCTCTCTCTCTCTCTCTCTCTCTCTCTCTCTCTCTCGCTCTCTCTCTCTCAGAGTGCTCTAAACATGGTGAGTCGCTGCATGGCTGTAGATCTGGAGCCTGATGGCATCCTCTGTATGGCCATACATCCTGGCTGGGTCCGCACTGAAATGGGAGGGTCTCAGGTACAGCTGTGTTACAGTAAACATATTTGATATTGACACGGTTTTAATGTTGTCATTCTTTTACGCTCTTTTTAAGTAAATGTGTTGTAATATCATCTTAAAAAGCATCTTCCCTTCTTTTTCCAGGCCCCGCTGAGCCCAGAGGAGAGCATTTCCTCTGTTCTGTCTGTGATTGGAGGACTGACTGAAAAGGATCATGGGTCTTATCTGAGCTTTACAGGAGAGGTGTTGCCTTGGTAACCCTGATTATCACAGTGATAAGAGGAATAATTATATGCACTGCTACCCAGAGGTGGGGGCTTGACGACTCGACTTGAGACTCGACTTGGACTTGAGTCCCGTTTTTGACTTGCTTGATGATCAAGAAATGACTTGGACTTGCTTGGGACTTGATTGCTAGACTTGAGACTTGACTTGACTTGAGCCCAGTGACTTGAAAAGTCTTTTCAAGTCTTTTCAAGTCACTTAATACCTTACAGCAAGCCCAAACCATTTAAAAAGTGTCGCATCAACGAATAGTCAGGAATTATGGCCGTTGGTAACACCGTGTTGTGTTGCCAAGTCTGCTTATTTCCCGCAAAAAAATCGCTTGTTTTTGGCTTGTTTCTGAAGGTCTGTTGTCTTATTTCTCTCACGAAACTTGGCAACACTGTCTCAAACTCTAGCCTCCCTCATAACGACAACACCGGGAGGACTGAACATAAATCGCTCGCTAGTATTGCCCGCCTGTTTCCACGTGTTGCCTTGTGTCTCTCTTTTGTTTTGGAACAGTGAATTAGAGTATCAGTTTAATGTTTAACTGTATTTGAGTCTTCCTCATTTTTGTGCACATTGTCTAAGTTTCCAATTATTGAAGTTTATCTGATTATTTTTTGTATGACATGTAAAATAGTTTGGTTAAAGCTGCACTATGTAACTTAACACAAACAAGAACCCTTGTTTAATAATAAATGCAAATAGTGAAAAATGCTCATGATTTATGTAAATCTTTACATATAACAAATGGTTTATGGCTTTGATATGACTTGTTTTTGACTTGAAAGAAACGGTAAGGACTTGGACTTGACTTGAGACTTGTCTGTGTTGACTTGGACTTGACTTGAGACTTGAGAGCAAAGGACTTGGACTTGCCTCGGACTTGGACTTGCCAAGACTTGAGACTCGACTTGGACTTGCAACATAAGGGGCTCTATTTTCGTTCGCGCCGGTGAGGCGGCGGAGGGCGGCGAGCCCCGCGCAGTTGTATTTTCGTCTGGCGGAGCCCGGCGTAAGGCGAGTTTGGTATTTTCGCGGACTGAGTCGCACGGAGGCGAGCCGAGATCCGCCAAGCTGGGCGTGGTGGCGTGGCAGGGGGAGGTGTTGACAGAATCAGCTGGCGCAGTGACATTTTCGTGCTCGCCACCGGCGTGTAACGTGCGCTGAAAGCTCGCCGATTCAAACCTGGTCAGCTTTCAGCGCAAGGCGGAACGCAGCTGGTCTAGTAGTATTTTGGTAGACCGGCGGCGTATCGACATACGTCACTGATGCCTCACCGGCAGGTTTCCACAGTGTCAGGCAGATTTCAGTGCAATAAATAATCATCAACAACTATTAATCTGAGTCAGCACATACATTTAGATCTATATCGATATATTCTGATCTATATCTGATCTGATGAGCGCGTTTGGCATGCGTTTGGCACGCGTTTGGCACGCGTTTGGGCACACAACCTGACCGAATCAATACAGCTGAAACTGCATCAAATTAAATTAAATATCTAGTAAATAAACACACATGATGAAGTTAACAAGATATGTAATGTGTCTCCCTCCTTTTCTTTCTTCCTCTTATTTCTCGCACAGCTCGACCTGGACACGTCTCCGTGTCCTCTGTCCGTCTTGCTTGCTGCTGCGGCTGAACAGATGATTTGTTTCAGTGCTCAGATGCGTGATCTACTTTAAGCCGACATATGGATATTATAATATTCAGTTTTGTGGGCCAAATTTATTTTATATGCCAACATCTATGAAAGAAAGAGCCAGGCCACGGAGCGCAATGCGTCATTTACGCACAGATGGTTCCGATTTTAATGCCTTTTTTGGAGTTTATGTTGTGATCTGTGCGCTCAACCCACCTTTGTCACGTGAGGTTTGAATATATGCAACTTTATGTGAGTGTCTTTATTTGTGGAAAAGGGTGTTTGTCTTACCAGTGGGTCCAACATTACACACACCAAATCCATCTGTGCTCAGATGAGAGAGTGTGGAGGACACTTGTTGAGCAGCTGCCCTCTGTCGCCATCGTGTGGCATAACTGTCTTCAGACATCTCTCGATCTCTTTGACTACTTCATGAAAATAGTAATACGCCTCGCCGGTGGCGGATTTAAAGGCAAGGAGAGGAGCTTATGTGATTGGTGAAAACAGGTCTCGGCTGTGTTAAATCTACGACACGCCCTCTCTCCTCCCCGTCTACGAATTATGCTGCCGGGAGGAGCTGAGTTAGGGAGGGGGGATACTTACGCCGGGCTGCGCGGCTCACCAAAATACCAAAATGTGCTTGGGAACGCCTTGTCAGCGCGGCGGATCTGATTGACGCTGCGCTTGCGGCAGATCTCCGGCGAGGCACCAAAATAGAGCCCAAGGACTTTCCCCCACCTCTGCTGTTACTTTATCATATGATCAGCTTCAGCTATGCAAGTATGAAAGTATTGATGAGTTCAAGTAAGAAATGAGAAAAAGTATTACCTTAAAACCTTAAACTACTTCTATCTGTCATTGGACAGCAGGTTATTCTGTGCACTTTAGTTGGTCTGTGCGCTTTCTGCTTTATTCACATTAAACTGTGAGAGCAGTGCAAACCCTAAATACCTCTAAGAAGTTATTTAGAATGTATGTAATGTTATAAAGAGATAACAAACTTTGCTAAAAATGATAAATACTATATAATGTTACTGTAATCAAACATTCAATGTCGGGTTTCAAAAACTCCTTGTTGGGCGAAATCAGGGGAGCCCTAAAATGTTGCCCAGTCCCAAAACATAATTTCATACTAAACACTGTAAACTTTATAAGCCATTGCACGATTTGAATATAAGCATCCTCGTGTTATGGATGAGGGTTTTTGGGGAGTTTGTTAATTTTGAGTGTGGGGCATTTTTGTGAACCGAATCAGGTGTTTCACAGTGTTTTACTGATCTGACTGGTTGTGCTAATTTTGGTCCGTTCTTCTGCACAAAGTTATTTTTCACATTTATTTTTAAGGGATTGCTGTTGTCTGTCTTTGTTCTCCATGTAGTACAAAATTTATTATGACATGTTTATTCAAATTTTGTAGTTCAATGATTGTACACCAGTTTTTACCTCCGCCAAGGAGGTTATGTTTTCGGTAGCGTTTGTTTGTTGGTTTGTTTGTTTGTCTGTTAGCAACTTTACAGAGAAAGTAACAGACGGATTGACCTGAAATTTTTACCAGAGGTGCATCTCAGCCCCTCAGATCCCATTACATTTTGGTGGTGATCTGGATCGCCCTCTGGATCCAGGAATTTTTGAAGGATTCTTTATCATTGTGAGATAGGGCAAATTTGGAATTTTTTTGCATTTAACTCTATAAAAATGTCCAGAGTCTTTAGTAAAAAATGACACAAAAGGATCTCAACGAGTTTTATGAGGTGTCAAAGGTTGATCCTGTTCCAGACAAAATTCTGGATACTGTGATCCAGAACACACAAAAATAAGGGTGTCGTTAGAATTTTCAATGCTGAAAGATAACTAATGGGCGGCACAGTGGTGTAGTGGTTAGCACTGTCGCCTCACAGCAAGAAGGTCCTGGGTTTGAATCCGGGTCAGGGCATTTCTTGTTTTAGGAACATTATGAACAGTGAACATACCAGTTTAAACACAAATAAAAGTTCATAAAAGACACGTAACAGTAAAAGTTTTGGTGTGAATCACAATATAAGGGGGGACATGAGCTGCTTGATGGAGGTCTGCGTTCTCCGGATGCTTTTCTAGTTTGCTACTGTTTTCATGTTTATTTAAAGATTTCTTCTGTTTCAAGATTTCATAGTGAAGCAGTAATAAAGGTTCAGGGTATCTTCAAGTGAAAGTGGTCCTTTGATTTGTTACCTTTACCTCAAATAGTAAAATAAAAGATCTAACATGATCTGTGTAAAAGAGATACTTAATCTCAAAGCATCTGAAACACTGTCACTTAAGGAAGTTAGGCCAAAATCTTCCTCATTCTTTAAATGGCAAGTCTTTGTTACAGTATTCCCTTGAGTTTGAATATAACTTCTTATTTTTCCTAGTCGGAGGTTAATTCTTTGGTCAGACAACCCTTAAATAGTTTTTTCAATAAGTGTACAGAATGATATAAACATGTATAAAAAGTCATTTACTGTATTAAACCTGTCTCAGTTAGTATAGTGAGCTGCAAGTGTTATCTACATAGTTTATAGCACCTGTCGCTGCAGATAGTTTGGTTACAGTAGATAAAGCAGAACTGCCACTGAACCGAACAACGTAGAAATTAAACAGGACAGATGTATCACCTCCATGCAACACGTGTGACATCAAATGTTGCACATAAAAAGTAAGAAAAAAGTCAAACTGTAAAGTGGAGAAGAGTAAAACCTTGGACTCAGTTAAAGGGAGTATGCCTAAACACCAGCAGAGACTCTACTATGATGATGACACGCTACACATCAAACCTTTACGCTTTAAAAGAGGAGGTTACAAGACAAGACGCTAATTATTGGAATGTGGAAATCTTAGAGAGGAAAAGTCCTGGTAATCAGGTCATGTCTTCTCCCTGCGGTGGTGTCGTCTCAATCTAATCAAACCAGTTTGCTAGCAACAGTGTGACAGAGGTCAGGTGCTGTGCGTGTTTGTGTGTGGAGACAGAGGGAGGTAGCCAGAACAAAAAGGAGGAACAGTTACAAGATAAGATGCTGCTTTGAATTTTTCCTCACTCACAAGTTCTTTTGTTCCGTTTCTTCTCAGGTGTTCACGATGGATATATTGCTCAGGAAGATGTGCACATTCATGCAGGAAAAGTGCATATAAGTGTTTAGTGCTTGCTGTAAGTAAATATTTATGTTACAGATGCAGATGGACTACCCAGCACCTGTCAGCCTTTTATCGACTACTGAGGACCTGAGGAGGCTGTTCTCAGACATGTTCAAGTACTTTATCTTGGGTATCTCACTTGGTCTCCTTCTGCTGGCACTCGGGATCTTAGTATTGCAGATCATCAGATGCTGCACAAAGACACACTCTACACACACTCAGCAAAATACTTGTGAGTAGAAATTAGATTATAATGTTAAACAGTGCAGTAAATATCTATAAAGCTGTGTTTCTGTCATGGATGTCGTCACCACAAACCAAGATGACTTATATTTTCTGCAGTTAACAATGATCTCCTGTACTCTGAAGAAAAGCCTGGGACAGCAGGGAACTTGGCAGAAGCCCCAAGTACAAGGGTAAGAGGAGAGCGGTGTAATGGATGTGAATTTAAATAAAGCTATCATTTGAACATGTTTTCTGGATGCTGTTTCAGCAGCAAACAGCTCCTAGGCTACAGAAAAGGAGTCAAGTCCAGATTTTTTTTCTAAAGTGTATTGAGGTGTCTGAGGCTCCATTGTCTTTAGTGAAAACGTTTGAATTGAAGCAGAGCTGTGAAAAGCACGCTTTCATTGTAAATTGTGCAACAAAAACTAAATAATACAGACTGATTCCTTGAACCTTTAGTTAGCTTCAAAGTTAAACAGAATGCCGAAAGAAATCAGACTTGAATTTAAGTTTAAGGGGCAAAAAAATAAATAAAAATAAAAACACCTAACAATGATGTGTTTACCTGCGCATATTATTATTCATGTGTGAAGAGTCAGGTTTTTCCTGAGCACACAGTAGATGACAGGTGAAGTGTTGATTTCGTGTTGTTTAATGTTGTACTACATGTTAATGTGTTTAAGACCTCCCCACCGCGTGACTTCAGTCAGTATTAGTAAAAAGCATTTACAGAGACAGAGTAATTTTTAAAATCATATGAATTTGAAAAATAGGAGAGGCCTTCCTTTGTTTTTATTGAGGCCAAAACTTGGTGTGTTTCAGTGGTCAAAGAAAACTTTTTACAATCATAACAATTATATTGTCATATAAATCACATAAACTTTTTCTACACATAGACAAGTGTGAAAATATAACACTCTATGGCAGGGTTTTCCTGTGGCTTTGTTTAGACCATGTAGTCTGCAAAAATCCCACAAGTAGACAACACTGTGTGCATACTGATAGATTACTGAGCATATATGTTTAAACAGAGGTGAGTTGACATAGTTGTTACAAGTCAAATAAAGCCGGAGGTGATGAAGTAGTTGATAAAACACTACTGACACAAGTGCTGTGTATGTCTGCATGCTTCGCAGATGGAAGAGTTAAACACAGAGGCCCAAAGGCTGAGCCGATGTCTGTCTCATACCCTGTCTCTCCCCTCGGGATCCAGCCAGACAGAGGAGGACATAGGAGAGCAGGCAACCATTAAAAAGGTGGAGGATATTGTTGTTCATCATTTTCAGAGCCATATATATTTTCAAAACCTATCATTGTATTCCCCATATCTGACATACCCTAAAAAATACAAAAGGTTCTTATACAGCTGTATTGTATTTTAGGAACTATTTTTGTCACAGTGTAATGAGGAAGATATAGTTTTAGAAAATAAACTCTATACTGCCATGTCTTACAAACCACACCATCTTATAACAACACATTATATGAAGTTTTATGAACAAATCGGGCAGATTCTATATACAGTATTGTCTTGTTCCAGGTTGATGGAACGCTACATTTCTCCATCTATTACGACCAGCTTCTGTCCCGTTTAGTGGTCACCATCTTGCAGGTGGAGGGTCTTCTGCAGCAGAGACAGAAACTCCATCCCTTTGTTAAGATAAGTCTCATGTGGGCTGGCTCACAGGGAGTGCAGTTGGAGGGCTGTATAAATGAAGAGGTAATTATGTCCTTATTGGCTGCCTCTATTTTGTTGGTTAGTAAATTACAACATCAGAAAAATTGCAGGGCAAATAATCTGTGGAGTCTTGTGGAAAAAATTAAAATGTTGTCTTTTTTTCCTCCTCCTGTTTATTTTCTGTGTTGACCCTTCTAGGGCCAATTGACAGCACCTGTGATGTGGACAGTGCTGCAGGATTGGCAGACTCGTATCGTAAAAGGCAGCTGTAATCCTTTATTTGGAGACCAGTTCACCTGTGTTCTGAGAGAAGATAAGGAGCTTGATCACATTAACCTCAGAATGGAGGTCCTGCAGTTTATTACATGTCTATTTTTTTGAAACTATGATTTTATGATTTCTAAATAGATTAAACTGAATTAACTTTGAATGCATGATTCTGTCATGTGTACTTTTTGTACCTTAGGTGAGGGACTTTGACAAATTCTCCAGACACACAGTTTTAGGAGAGGTCAGGGTCTCTCTGGGGCAGCTTAACATCTCCTACCCTCTTGAGCTTCAGGAAGATCTGCAGATGCCGCAGAAGGTACAACAGGACAACATACTTACCAATCAATCGCAAGAGTAATGTTTGGTATAGAAATATCAATGTTAAAAGAATAGCCTAAAGTAGAGTTGTACGAATCACTTGTCAGTAATAAAAAGAAATATACCAAAAACAAACAAACAAAAATCATAAGAATTAATACAAATAACTAATTACAACAGATAACAATTAAATAGATACAATCCAATATAAAAGCAGAAATTTAAGTTAACAGACACAGGTCTAACTAAGCAAATGACCAAGAGAAAGCTAAATGACAAAAGTGTATATATGTGTATAAAGTATATATACACACACACATATATATATATATATATATATATATATATATATATATATATTTTTTTTTTTTTTGTACCTTCGTACCTTTCGCTTGACTCATTGATGTATCATTTACTGACCTGAAATGTAATTTAACTGATTTAAACAAAGTCTAACCAAAGCACCTTGCTCTGTTTAAGATTGTTAGTGCTTTACTTGCATATAGATTTAAAAAAAATCTGAATGTGAAAAGCTCACAGGTTTCCCTTGCTGTAGTACACATACAATTGACAAGTATCTCACTAAACCTCACCTTACAAAAAAATCCCTCCAAAAACACTACCTTTAACTTTATTATTTCCCTACCAGGATCTCGTCGGAGAGGTGCTTCTGTCTTTAAAGATTCTTCCCACTTCTCAGAGGTTGGAGGTTGGACTTCTAAAAGTCAGAACAGTCCTCCCTGAAATATGCTCAGACACAGGTAAATGAAAATACAGACACAACCTTTACAAACACATCTGCCGCACACATTTCTACCATTACTGTTGGTTATGCATACCAAGTGTCCCACATATATCCTTTCTGTTCCCTGTATTTTCAGCCCTGTATGCCAGGATCAGTCTGCAGTGCAACAAGTGCAAGTTAAGGTACCAAAAGACCTCTGCCATAGCCTACTGCCTGATGACTGTCTTCAATGAAGTCTTCATGTTTTCTTTGCCAGAGTTTCCTCTTGAACAATGCAAAATCTCAGTGTCTGTATATGAGACTCTTGTTACAAGAAAATCCACAAAACATCTGATTGGACTGTTGACTGTGGAAAAGGACAAGACTTCAGAGGACCAGCACTGGAGCTTAATGATGCACTCTGTCCGCCAGCCAATAGCAAAGTGGCACAGCCTGCTGATATGATCTACTGGTTATACTTTCCTTCATTCACTTTAAAAGCTTGTGTAGGCTAGAAAGAGGTAACTGGTCAGCAACAGACCAAACATACTGTCCTCTCTGACTTCTCAGTGGTGGAAAGTACTTTCTGCTGTAACAAGAAACAACACAGTAGCCTTCAAACTAAAAAACTTAGAGCATTCAGTCATTTTGTTAGCTGATCAGATAATTGATGTCTTTCATTTCTTCTCTTGGCCTCTGATTTCATCATTAAACATGTCAAATCTCAGAAGAAATGAAATTTGCCCTCTGTATTTCTAAAAAACTTATCTTAGAAAATGATTTTATTGACTTTCTTTTTAAATACTTCTTTCATTTATTTCTTATTTATACGGTTTTTGCTTTTTGACAGTCCCGTCTATGCAATGCATTTCTTACATTGCAAGTGTTAATGACTGGTAATTACTAGTCCATTAGTAGTACATTACTAATAGCCAAAACTAACTAACATCTTATATATACAAGAGCCCAAATATTTCATTTGAAAAAGCATAAGGCAAGACTACAAAAAACCTCTTTCGTAGGTTGTGTTGTGTCGTTGTAGTATAGCAGGGCTCTCAAGTCTCACGCATTCAGCGTGTGACACACGCATTCCCACCCGCTCACACGCCACACATTGTATTTCTCACGCATTCAAATGAACATGGTGATGTCCACCAAGTTGCGCCTCTTTAACTATGGAACAGGTAGGAATCAACTGAGTTCCTCCGAGAGTTCAGAAGCTGCGTGCCACGCGCAAGCCAATCAAATAAAGTATATCTACTGAACAGCCAATCAAAAAGTAGCATTGCTGTATCCGGGTAGATTTTGATATCTTACGGTTTGACTACAGAAGAAGACAGACACTCGCCGTAATAGAGCAGGTTTTTATAAGGACAAGATAGACCCGATGATTACAGTAAGTCAGTAACCTACACATGCAGAGACCTCAACACCTCATGGCATATAAACTCATATGATAAACTAAAGCCCTATGCTATTGCTATTAACAGCTGTATTGACGGATTTAGCCTCTGTACAGCCATTTCCAGCCATTTTCCCCTCCACAAAAGCAGCATTTCTCATATATCTCAAATATAAGTTCTGATACTCATGACAGTGTAATGCTCATGTACCAAAGTATCTCCATGTTTGTGAAACCTATACTAAAGTACAATTCATCTAAATGCTCCACAGTGCTGATTTTAACAACTCTCTTTCACAACAGGTAACTTTACGACTTAATACTGATATTAATGACTTTATTCTCCCAAATAATAACTTTATTGATTTAAAAACGTTTTTTTTCTAATTGTGCCCCTTATACTCCGTTGTATTTAAGAGATAATTATACTAATAATTATCTTCGGTCACGAAAAATAACCTCCACTTTACTTCGAGAGATTTATATTCCATTGAGATTAAAGTAAATTAAAGATAATATTAAACTTTTAGATATAACCTACCAGTGTAAGGGTTTTTATAAAGTAAACAGCATTTTAAATCTCCATGGTAACCTGTAACGATGTAAAAACTTTAAATCATTACAAGCAAAAGAGAGCGGTCATTTCTGAAGATCAAATCTGAAGAGAACAGCACGAAAAACTAAAGCGGCTCACGAACTTACAACTTTTGACGGCTTCATCGTAAATAAAACCTCACCAGACGACTAAGGACTCGGACTAACACCTCTAACCAACACCTGAACAGAGAAGACAACATCTACGACATGGAGACCGTAAGATTTCATGACAATATTATCATACAAACTTGTGTTACTGTCGAGACTTTCGTGATGGATTAAATGTGTGCATGGATATTTACAGTGTTTATGACTTTAATGTGACAGGCATTATCAAAACTAGAAAAATTGCATTTCCTTGCAGAAAATGCGTGGAAATGCTGAGTGCTGAAAGCTGAAAAAGCAATGCGAAACTGCTAAAAAAAAAAATGGAGGAAGGTTTAAATGTAAACTTGGTCAAAGAGCTGGAGAAAGAAAAGTAGAAGTTGGATGAAAGTGAAAATTGCTGAAGTACAAATAGTATGAATGTGCTTCATAAATTAAAATTGCATTCATGCTGAACAAGGCTAGAAAAACTGTCTGAAATTGCAAAAAAAAATTGTATAAGGAAGAAAATTACCTTAAAACACAGAAAAGTAAGAAGCGGCATAAGTTTAAGTTGAAGTACTAGAAGAAGTATGATAATAGGTAGTTGTACTAGTGATATTAGTAGTCATGTAAGCAGTAATAGTAGTTTTAGAATAGAAGAAGTAGAAATCAAAGCAGTAGAGCTCGTGGTAGAAGTAAAAAAAAATATTAAGAGAAGCAAGAGCAGTAGAGGTACAAGTGAAGATACAAGTTAAAGTGATATAAGTAGTAAGGTAGTGGTAGAACTGGGATTTTGTTTGAAGAATTAAAACATACATAAATAATGGGAATGATTTTGAAGTGGGAAAAAATTTTAATAATTAGAAATCCTAAAGTGTTAAACAGGTTTGAAGTATCAGAAAGGTTTGAATCAGTTTGAATGAGTTTGGATTTGTCTGACGAATTTAATAATGCATAAATAATGAGAATAATTTTAAAGTGGGGAAAAGTTTAAAAATCCTGAGTACACCCCATAATGTCCTCAATGAGCTGAATTTTTGAAGCCCAGAATGGTTACAAGACACATATTAACTGTGTGTACATGCAGGTCTTTTAGACACAGACACACACGCACACACATTGTCAGACTGTGTGTGTGTGTCTCGTTAATGATTGCATCCTAAACAGCTGTGAGATCAAAGGCATTAACTGACCTACTGTTTGAATGAGAAGCTGCCTCTGGACTTCTTCACATAGCACGATTTCCTTATATCCCAGAATGAAAATAAGAAAATCGTACAAATCCTCCGCCCTTCATGAACACAATGAATGTGGCCACAACAGTGAGTTAAAAGTCGAGACGTTCGGATGGTTATCTTAAAAGTGATGCATTGATATCACATGAAAGTCCTGCCCACCATGTCAAAGACTCTTCGTGCTTAAGAGCAGAAAAGCTCATGTTATTGTGAGAAATCTAAAGATTCGCAAATTTAGGATTTGATTTTGGACTTACACTGTGTTGTGTTTCATACTCTTTTTGTCACAAGACACATGTATTTATGTGATACATTTCAGTGGTTATTTTAACTGAATAAGACAATTCAAAGGCTTCACATAAGACATTTACTGATCAATTAATCAGTCAGACAAAGGAAATGTGTAAAAACACTAAATGAAATAAAGAAGTTTTATCATCGTTTGCTCTTACTGGGAGTCTCTAGTCAAAAACTAGTAAAGTCAGGTATGATAGATAAGATACTCCTTTATTACTCCCACAAGGGGAAATTCCCAGTAAGGGAAACAAAGACCATTTTAATTTACTGTGTTTGAAATTGAAGGAAAAACATGTTTTGTATGAGGCCTTTCCCGGATAATATGCATTAAAAAAGCTTTGTTTTAAAAACGCTGTGTCAACTTAAAGAGATTCAGCACTTAGGTTTTTAATGAATAAGTGTGAACAAAGAAGGGGTTCATTTATCAATAACAACAACACAAAAACAGGGAATAACCTTCAGGTATTTTAAACCACTGTGAGTGTGCTGTATTATTTTTGATACATAAAGACACTTTTTCAGTTTGACTCTGATACTTCCTCAAAGACCATCCAGTGCGTGTTTATTGTATTTTATTGTCTGAATATCACCATGGTTTGAGTCTGTGTGACTGTCATGTGTCTCTGCAGATATTTCTGTTTATGGATTTGTTTTGTTCATTAAAATAACCAACCTGTGTTTCTGTGTTGACCAGTGACACTGCGTCAGAGGCTTCTAACGCAGAAAACTGCTGCCCAAAGAACTTTTGGCTGCACAGGCTGTTTGGTCAACCTCTGGTATGTTTCAGAGCTGTTAAAATAAGATCATTTTATAAGTGTGACATTTAAAATCAGACACTACAAATATTTGACACAGTGGGTTTTCATTTTTATATTTGTTGTTACTCCACAGAGAAAAGGCAGAAGTCTAATCAGCCTTCAGTGGAGGGGAGTAAACTGCTCCAACAATCAGCTGTTTATTTGTGCAGCCACAAAAGCTTCTGATAAATGTGGACTTTCACTGCAGACTCCTTTAAAAACATCACTACAGGTTGTTAAAACAAATGTCACCACACGGTATTGGTGTGTGCTTGTGTCTGCAGAGAGTTCACCTCCAATGGTCTGGCTGGCTCCACAGCACCCCCACCTGGGGAGAAAAACAAGAAACCAAAGGAGAAGAAATGGAGTTGTTCTTGGTTTTTGAAGTGCTGTAGTGTAAGTAAAGCATAGGAATACCAGTCTGGACTTCAGTGTTGTTATAAGCATTAGTTTTGGTTTATCTTTCAGTTGATTCTGTTACTGACAAACCAAAATTATTTTTACTCCATTAGAGAGAAAAGCGTGTGTCTCCTCTCTCTGATCATAAAGATCAGCAAAAGCCTCCTCGGGAACTCCAGAGAAGGTAACAAACTCATTTTGTTCACAGGATGGATCAATTTTGGTGTCACCTGATGAGTTAAATCATCACGTGACACAAATCAGGTGTTATCAATTCTTTCTTAAAGCTCCCGTGAGGAATTTTTGGTTTGTGTTGCTTCTTATGCTTCTTTTCATAACCTCTCTTTCAAATTGTGTTTTCAAACAAAAAATCTCCCTGCTCAATTTTAAAAGTCATTGGTCATCTTCACCTGAGATATTTTTGAAAAAGCCTTTTTAAAAAGCTTCAATTTAGCTAAATCATCTGACACCTACACCCCTGACAACAGTTTCTAACCTCACAAATAACTTTGTAGAGATGAACAAACCCTTCAAAGGTGGTCTGATTTGCTTTTTAAGGCCACACAGAGGTATCCCTATCAATATCAGTCAGTTATAATCGGCTGAAAATTCCCCACAGTAGCTTTAACATGAAGTCACTTGTACATGAAAATCAGTATATCTGCTAAAAAGGCCTGGCCCCTTTTTTTCCCCCCTTGAAACACACTCACAGTCTGTTCCTCAGTCTTTGAATCATTTATTTATTAGTTGGGTCACAAAGTGAGATTCTGTGACCATCCTCTGGCAAGGATGTTTTGATGATTGATTTGACCTCTATGGACCCTTTAGAAAAGATTTAGCCCCCAGGTCCCTCGCAAAAATCCCGGCATTTTTTGCTAGACAGCTAAATTCAAGATGGCGTCCGGCGCCATCTCTAAAAATTAACTTTTGATCTGGATGACCTAGAATCATGTATGAAGGCACTTTTCCATACAAGTCAAGCATGAGGATTCCAAATCTGACATAGTTTTAATCATACAACTTTGTTTTGACCGCGATATTCAAGATGGCTGCCATCTAGGACTGTGATTCTCAACCTTTTCAGGACTTGACCCCCCAAAACAATCATATTTGAACTGGGTAACCCCCAATTTGTTTGACTCTGTTCCACATATAGATATTGTGAAAATAGCCGATCTACAAGCCCGTAACATCTTGTATTGTGAGGCGTGTGAGCTTGTAGATCGTCTATTTTCACAATTTTTGCCTTTTTCTTATATCATTTGACAATTTGGCCAATGGTTTAGCATTGTTTGTTGATTACTTTGGATGCAGTGATGATCTTTTTCTTTGAGGATCTTACAAGTCCTAACATTATCATTTCACTGTCATCTGGGGGTACCCCACCAACCATTGATCAAGTACAGAGAAAACTTAACTTAACAACAACATAAAGGCCAGTGAATATTGCACTCAAACTATCCAGTATGCTTGATTCATGTCAGCAGCAGTACTTAACTCAGTCAATTTGATTGTCTGTCCCTTCATGTCAGGGATCATCTTTGGGTCGACTTAATGGTATATGTGGCTTCATTACACAGACTACCACACTGGAGAATACATGACTGTCTGTCTGTTCTTGTTGGTATATTATTTTCTTCCATATTCAAGCAGCCATGTATGCTGCATGCACACTGTCTTTACAGATCAAATGTGTAGCTCCTCTAACTGTGGGCTCAAAGGAATGACTGAGGCAACATTTAGGAAAGCAGCAGCACTAAACAAGCAGCATGTGCTAACATGCCCTGACATGAAGGGACAGGAGGGTGGAGGGTGGCGGACCCCGCGCAGCTGTATTTTCGTCTGGCGGAGCCCGGCGTACAGCCAGTTTGGTATTTTCATGGACTGAGGCGCACGGACATGAACCGAGATCTGCCAAGCTGGGTGTGGTGGCGTGGCAGGGGGAGGTGTCGACAGAATCAGGGGTCGCAGTGACATTTTCGTGCTCGCCAATGGCGTGTAAAGTGCACTGAAAGCTCGCCGATTCAAACCTGGTCAGCTTTCAGCGCAGGCGGAGCGCAGCTGGTCTACTAGTATTTTGGTAGACCGGCGGCGTATCGGCATACGTCACCGATGCCTCACCGGCAGGTTTCCACAGTGTCAGGCACATTTCAGTGCAATAAATAATCATCATCAACTATTAATCTGAGTCGGCACATACATTTAGATCTATATAGATATATTCTGATCTATATCTGATCTGATGAGCGCGTTTGGCATGCGTTTGGACACACAACCTGACCGAATCAACACAGCTGAAACCGCATTAAATTAAATATCTAGTAAATAAACAAACATGATGAAGTTAACAAGATATTTAATTTTTCTCCCTCCTTTTCTTTCTTCCTCTTCCTCTTATTTCTCGCGCAGCTCGACCTGGACATGTGTCTGTGTCCTCTCTTTGTCCTGCTGCAGCTGCTGCTGCTGCGGCTGAACAGATGATTTGTTTCAGTGATCAGATGAATTTTTTACTTTAAGCCTACATACGAATATTATAATGTTCAGTTTTGTGGGCCAAATTTATTTTATATGCCAACATGTATGAAAGAAAGAGCCAGGCCACGGAGCGCGATGCGTCATTTACACACAGATGGTTCCGATTTTAATGCCATTTTTGGAGTTTATGTTGTGATCTGTGCGCTCAACCCACCTTTGTCACGTGAGGTTTGAATATATGCAACTTTATGTGAGTGTCTTTATTTGTGGAAAAGGGTGTTTGTCTTACCAGTGGGTCCAACATCACACACACCAAATCCATCTGTGCTCATATGAGAGAGTGTGGAGGACGCCAAATGCAGCGCTTACAGTGACACTTGTTGAGGGGTGCCTTCTGTCGCCATCGTGTGGCATTACTGTCTTCAGATATCTCTTGATCTCTTTGACTACTTCACAAAAACAGTAATACGCCTCACCGGTGGCGGATTTAAAGGCGAAGAGAGGAGCTTATCTGATTGGTGAAAACAGGTCTCGGCTGTGTTAAACCCACTCCACGCCCTCTCTCCTCCCTCGCTACGACTTACGCCGCTGGGAGGAGCTGAGTTAGGGAGGGGGGATACTTACGCCGGGCTGCATCGCTCACCAAAATACCAAATTGTGCTTGGGAATGCCTTGTCGGCGCGGCGGACCTGACTTACGCCGCGCCTGCGGTACGTCTCCGGCGAGGCACGAAAATAGAGCCCCATGTGTTACGGGCTTGTAGATATTGTAGATAGCTATTTTCACAATATCTATATGTGGAACAGAGTCAAACAAATTGGGGGTTACCCAGTTCAAATATGATTGTTTTGGGGGGTCAAGTCCTGAAAAGGTTGAGAATCACAGTACTAGATGGCAGCCATCTTGAATATCGCGGTCAAAACAAAGTTGTATGATTAAAACTATGTCAGATTTGGAATCCTCATGCTTGACTTGTATGGAAAAGTGCCTTCATACATGATTCTAGGTCATCCAGATCAAAAGTTAATTTTTAGAGATGGCGCCGGCCGCCATCTTGAATTTAGCTGTCTAGCAAAAAATGCCGGGATTTTTGCGAGGGACCTGGGGGCTAAATCTTTTCTAAAGGGTCCATAGAGGTCAAATCAATCATCAAAACATCCTTGCCAGGGGATGGTCACAGAATCTCACTTTGTGACCCAACTATATATATTAAGAAGCGCTGTAATGCTGTAGAATAGCCAACTTGATTTTTTGACTTTAAATTTAAATGAAAAGAGCAGTTTAATACACACTTTCTGTACCAGATTTAATGTGGAGGTTGATATCTCAATAAAGAAAGTTATGTTTTGAGTTAGCTTGAGGTTATCGCTTTCATCCCCTTTTTAACTTTATGTTCTTACTTGGGACATGTTTTGATTGGCATTGAAAGTCAATAAGGATTATTGGCAGTGCTGGTAATGTGAATTAAAAACTCTGAGTGTTGTGTTGGTCAAATCTCGTCTCCTTAAATTCAATCCCACTTCGATCTCAATACTGATTTTTGCTAAAATAACCTTCTTTTCCACGTTTGAGGTCAACTGTAAAATAGGATTCAGTACAAGTAGATTACTAGCCCCACACACTTGTAGCTCTTTGCTGTTCATTGTTATTAAGTGGAAATGCTGATTAAGCATTTCCACTTATTGTTCTTCCCATCGGCCATTTTGTTTATTATTATTATTATTATTATTATTACGCCAATTTTCGTCCGCTTCTAACTCCTTCCTACTTTGTGCTATTTAAACCATTCAAACTTTAAACTGTTCCACTCCTTCAGGACATGAGGGCTCGTACTTTTTACCTTTCTACCTTTTATACTTTTTTTTTTTTTTTTTTACTTTTTGTGCCAAAATTTTAACATTGAAGTCAATGGCGAAATCTTCCAATTCTTCCTTTTCTTCTTCCACCTTCTAAACCTTACAACTTCAGTATACTTTCACTTAGAGACCTCATTTTTGCTTTAAAATGTTCATTCACTTGTCGACTATTAAACGTGTGTTCCATTTTTTGATATCTTTTACAGTTTTTCCACAATTTAGCACTCAGGGTTTTCAGCAAATTTCAGGCTTTATAATGGAAGAGCTAGAGTGATGATGTCATCGCTAGAGTGGAGACCCCCTCTCTGATCGACAAAACCTCGCTTGAATATATCGCTCCTGCGCCCACAAATTTCACTCCACAGCCAAAAAAAATTAATCAAAATGGAGGTATATGTGTCCTGCTTCTCACAAAAGAGGTTTCAAATCATTAAATCGTACCCCTCGGCCAGCAGGTGACCAACTGTCCAAATAGCTGAAGATCTCTCCCATTGGCCCTAATGTAATTTTTCTCCAAGAAAATCCTGAAAATTGCTCAGGCTCAGACCTATTTAACTCGCTGTTGTGGCCACATTTTTCAGAGTACAGACATGAAAAACACATCATTGTGTTCATGAGGGGCAGAGGATTCGTACAATGTTCTTATTTTCATTCTGGGATTTAAGGAAATCACACTATGGGAAGAAGTTCAGAGGCCCTAAATTCGATGAAGTTAGCCAGCTTCTCATTCAAACAGTACGTCAGTTAATGCCTTTGATATCTGACACCTGTTAAGATGCATTAATTAAAACACACACACGCACACACACCTTCTTGTACTTGCTGCTTTTGTAAGAACC